GGATATATTTGAAATCCTATACAGTACCCTGAAAACATGATTATATGAATACTTTTTATTAGAATCAACATAATACATAACGAACACAGAAATGGGTATTTAAAAAAAAAAAGAAAATTCTTTTAGAAGTCAAGATATGCTCATAAACCTGATTTTTATGGCGTCTGTTTGACTATTTTTAGTAGAGAGCTTCATACGACAAAACTTAAGAGAACTTAGTTCTTTTAAATTGTTTTGCAGACAAAAGAAAAAGAAAGGTTACCATTATTATGAATACGGTGACGATGACGTAAGTAATGTAATTATCATTGTTGCCAAAAACTTAATAAATACCTCTTTCATTCAACGTCATTACAGTTGTTGCTTCCTTCACTTTTACCTGTAATTAAATAATAAACTCATATTAATTACATTTATCTGCTTTTTCAGAATAATAATAATTTAAAAAAAACAATCTACAGAGTGGTGGTTTGTAGTATATTAATATGATCATTACTTATATGTAATCGGAGTGATGTTTTGTTCTACCTGATGTGTTATCGTACTGTATGTAATCACAATTTATAGAAATATTAGAAAATGACGATATTTAATTAAAAAAATTTCAAGAAAAGCACAACAGTACCGTATACAAAATAAAAAGAATGAATAGGCCTAATTATAAAAGTAATTATAGTAAATTTGATCATAAAATCCAATAAACAAATAAAATATTTACCATTAAAGATGATGTAGAAGTTGGCGATGTACTTCGTTGGCTTTCTGGCTGTTTCAACTTCTTTGCGATATTTTCTGCTATGGCGCCATCTTTTATCTGATTTGTTAGCTCAGCCACTGAACCACATAAATAATAAACATTATATCCAAAACTAAGTTATATAGCATTATACTAACAATTGCACAGAATAATATATAAACTTGAAATCAAAAAAATAACATGAAGAACATATACAAACATTCATCAAACATCAGTTAAACTATTATTTAAAAAAAAATAGGCCTACAAAATTAAGAAAAAGATTATCACTTAGGCCTAATCTGTAAATTCAATGATTTTCATGTACCATCTACATCGGTTTTCTCCCACTCGCTGCAGCCTTCACCAAAAGTTTGAACTACGGTTGTTGTTACAATACCGTCAGTTGGTTCTTCATTCTCATTAAATCTATTGACGATATAATAAAGATGTGTATAAGAGACAGCCTGAAAGCATCTAATTTTCATGGTGGCAGTCTAAAATCAGTGGCATATCTAGAATTTTTGAAATGGGGGTGCTGATGGCGGTGCTAAAGTGAAGTGTAAGGGTGGGGTTGATAGTCAATTGAGGGGCGCTAATTCGCTACTTGACAGTGATTTTGGGGGAGGGGGTGTGAGGAGTGGGCGATTGGGTTGTGCGAGTAATTTTTGGAGGGGCGAGCGCCCCCTCTCCCCCATGCGCACCCCCTAGATACGCCACTTAAAATCCAATATTGCCTCCATGATGACAATCTGCAAATGGATATATTTCAAATCCTATACAGTACCCTGAAAACATGATTATATGAATACTTTTTATTAGAATCAACATAATACATAACGAACACAGAAATGGGTATTTTTCAAAAAAAGAAAATTCTTTTAGAAGTCAAGATATGCTCAGAAACCTGATTTTTATGGCGCCTGTTTGACTATTTTTAATAGAGCTTCATACGACCAAACATAAGAGAACCTAGTTCTTTTAAATTGTTTTGCAGACAAAAGAAAATTCAGGTCACTATGAGTACGGTGACGATGACGTAAGTGACGTAATTATCATCGTTGCCAAAACCTTAATGAATACCTCTTTCATTCAACGTCATTACAGTTGTTGCTTCCTTCACTTTTACCTGTAATCAAATAATAAAACAATATTAATTACATTTATCTGCTTTTTCAGAATAGCTCTAATAATAATACAGAGTGGTGGTTTGTAGTATATTAATATGATCATTACTTATATGTAACCGGAGTGATGCATGTGTTATCGTACTGTAATCACAATTTATAGAAATATTAGAAAATGACGATATTTAATTTTTTTAAAAATTCAAGAAAAGCACAGTACCGTATACAAAATAAAAAGATTGAATAGGCCTAATTATAAAAGTAATTAAGTAAATTTGATCATAAATTACGTTAAACAAATAACATATTTACCATTAAAGATGATGTAGAAGTGGGCGATGTACTTCGTTGGCTTTCTGGCTGTTTCAACTTCTTTGCGATATTTTCTGCTATGGCGCCATCTTTTATCTGATTTGTTAGCTCAGCCACTGAACCACATAAATAATAAACATTATATCCAAAACTAAGTTATATAGCATTATACTAACAATTGCACAGAATAATATATAAACTTGAAATCAAAAAAATAACATGAAGAACATATACAAACATTCATCAAACATCAGTTAAACTATTATTTAAAAAAAAATAGGCCTACAAAATTAAGAAAAAGATTATCACTTAGGCCTAATCTGTAAATTCAATGATTTTCATGTACCATCTACATCGGTTTTCTCCCACTCGCTGCAGCCTTCACCAAAAGTTTGAACTACGGTTGTTGTTACAATACCGTCAGTTGGTTCTTCATTCTCATTAAATCTATTGACGATATAATAACGGGAGTTGGAATTATTGTAATAAATTAAAACGTGCTGAATTAACAAATGAACTTACATGTTATGCCTGCATTTTATAACATAATTAGCAATTATAACATAATATTGATTTTCACAGCATTGTAAAATGTCATATTCACACCCTCATTCAGGGGAGGGACAACCCTATTAAGGGGACATTTTTTTTGGTCTCCAAGGTGTTCCCTTAATGGGGGTTTTACTGTAGTAATAATAATGATTATAATTATTTTTATTATATAGGGTGACGAATAATCCTTTAGCTTATCCTTAATCTTATGTCCAAATGACCAATATATATAT